ATCTATGATTGTTTGAATATTTTTCCCATATCTATTTATTTGTGGGATAACGGGAAAATTTATTATTAAAGCTTTAAAATTAATTCTGACAACTACCTGAATGTTCTCATAATGTACCAAAAATTGGAACAATTGGATGAAAAATTTAATTTATATGAATTTTTTCTAAAGTTAGGCTTAGCAGCGCGAATTGCCCGTCCCCACAAGATGACGCATCCGGTTCACGCGTCGTCCCAAGACAACGCTTCGGTAACAGAGATGCCTGTTGTGAATGGGTTTCAAACAAATTTATGGAAACCGGAAAAATGATTGAAAAGTTAAGTCACCTCTTGTGGAAAATATTTTTCTTTAATATGGTGCATAGTCACCTTGGACATATAAGCATACCGCATACCTCATATCTTGATTTCGTAGACTTTACCGAAGTGTTGATCAAGTCTTGTAGAATTTCACATCACTCTTTCACTCTTCCAAAAGTGCACTTTTCTGCTTTTGGGGGTCCAGGAAGGAATTTGGCATTCTAAGGCATCACACTCGTGTTCAAGTCAGGTGAGTAAGAAAGCCAATTCATTCGAGTGATATCTTCTGTTTGCAAGTATTCTGACATCATATATACTCGATGAAGCTGAGCATTGTCACCCATTATCAAAAACTCTGGGGCAATAGCACCCCCCAAACAGTCTAACGTGGGATTCCAATACTTCATCTACATATATCCGAACCGTTATAGAAGCTCCTTGAAAGATATACAGCTCAGTGTAACTGTTTGTCATGATTCCTTCTCAAACCATTAAACCATGGTCACAGGAATGGGGCTTTTCAAGCACAATTAAGGGCAAATAACAAGTTCCTTTTTCTTTAGAGATCAGTCTAGAATCATTGTTTAGACTATATCTGGACTTGTCAGTAAAGAATACTTGGGCCTAATCGTCTTGTCTCCACTGAATATGACGACGTCACAAATTTAAGTGGGAACCTCTGGAAGCTGGAGTGAGTGGGAAATAAACCACTGGTTTTTCTCGCATACAGTCCAATTATGTTAAGCCTTTATGTAGCAGTAAAATGGGTAATTTGAGTTCCTGAGGCAGCCTGAAGGTCTAAAACCAAATCTCCTATAGTCACTTTGTGGTTTCTTCGAGCAGACAACAGTAATAAATCTTCTGATGCAGTTGTGTCAGCTTTGACCAGACTGTCTATCAACAGACCCAGTGCTTAAAAAGCGGCTCCAAACTCTGGATATGACACTTTGAGGGATATTCAAATCTTGGGCGACCTCCATTTGTGTTTGACCTCTCTCGATTCTACCAATTATTTGCCACTTTTGACTTTCACTTAAACGATGCATTTGAGCCATAACTATTGAATACTGATCACTCTCAGAAACCACATTTACTTTAAACAAAACTACAGACTGGAATTCCAACATGTGTCCATTGTGCACCACATTGTCAATCATTGAATTTGCATATTTCTGGCACAAACGTATGTGCAGAAGTGAAGTTTTGTGTTCAATTGTGTTTACTTAACATAAATAATTACAGCATTGGGCATTGGTTGCAACATCGACTTTCTGAGCATATTTTTTCTCATAATCCTTTAGTTTTTACAGCCAGTGTACACCTCTGTATACAAGCGGAGTACAGGGGGGATTACAAGAGAATTTCTTAAAAACAGTATGTGCTTTATTACAAATGTTTTGCTTTTTTTATTCATTGATTACTCTTTAATGGTATTTTTAGTACTTTAGAATTTCAAATGCCTTTTGCATATTAGCTAGGTGAAAAATTAGTTGGCATTAGTTGGCACTGAGTTACCTAGAAATATATGCTGGCAAGCAGCTTGTAGGTCCATTCGAAATTAGCAACAAACCTGCACATGCACAGCTGTTTCCCTCTATGATGGAATGGAGCCACATCTGTTGCAGAGAGGTTTTCCTTCTTTACAATACATATTTTTTGATTCTAACCTTCATGGTACCGTATACTAGGATTAAACCCATTTTGTTTTATACGAGAACAGGTACTTTCTTTAGTTCATGCACTAGACATGCGATTCTCGAGGTTACTGGAAACCAAAAGTTGCGTGAAACTTGCTTTGCCTTTCTAAAAGACAATCAAATTGGAGCTGCGAAAATTGGCTCTATGCCAGCTGCCCGAATGACACTCATGTGATACACAATTCATCAAAAAAGTGATTTCTTCCGATGACGGCGCAAAACTCGCCTTTTTTGGCGGGATCGTTGTATGAAATTCCCTGACTTTTCCCCGAATTTTTTGGTCAATTTCCAAATTCCCCGACTTTTTCCAGTTTTCCAGGTAGTGTGGCAACCCTGATAATACATCATGCAAATAATTTATCAATCAGCACCAGACGCAGTGAGTTTTTAAAACTGTTGGGTCGTAATCCAGCTGATGATTCCTTGCATAGACGTTCTCAGTGTTCATCATTACCTAGCCTCAAGCAGGATATTCAGTTTTTTTCCCAGATGAGGATACAGTTCAACTTACAGAAGAGACTCGAGCTGCTAAAAGGCAGAGATGTCAAGAATCTGACCGTTCCAAGAACAGGTACACCAAGTACAAATGTCGCAGTTGTAAAAAATTTCTGTGTTAGAACACTCTCAGCAAATATGCACTGATTGCTAATTTGTGTAACTTATTAAATGAGACAATTTCACTTGTATTTTTCATTTTCATTTGCGTAAGTTGAATAAAATTAAGTATCACTGTAAACTGAAGTTCTGTTATTTGTGTTTGTAATTTGATGTCGCAAATATACATGTGCTACTTCAATAATCCCTTTGCATCCATGAATTTGAACTGAATGACCTAAATATATATTAGTACAGCAAAAATATACCTGACGTCTGTTGGACGCCATGCGACCTTTAACGCAACAATATACCACGCGAGCACTGCAGGGTTAAATGGGAGATTATACAAAATACATACATATACAAAAAAATTTATCGTGAAACTTTCTAAATAAACTAATAAAATCAAATTCTCAATAATACAAATGCATAAAAGCCCATACACAACAAAATATTACAACAGTTTTCCCAGAAAAGCAGATAAATCTGCATAATTTAATAACACAGAAAGAAATGAAGAAAAATTACCATAATTTTTTATTGGCACACTTGACTGCAAAAATAATAATTTGAGATTTAAATAAAGATGCAATTTAGCAAGAAAAAGGCGAGAGATTTTTCATTGTCGGCAACAACAGTTTCGGAATTTGACTGTGGTTGGTAAATTTATTATGAAAGCACTTATACTCCAAATTTTAACAAGGCTGCTTTCATGGCAAAGTTCCTAGAGGGAATCAAATACATGCAGTACTGGACAAAATGTATTTGAACAAATATTCCTCATCCATCATTTCTTGCACATATGCACATGGTAATGAAAAAATTATAATCAATACATAAGCATACATGTTTAATTACTTAATTTAAATAACATTAAATTTTTTAACAAATTTAATTTTACAACAATTGTTTTTTCTTTTTTTTTCCAAATTTGAGATTTTTTATAAAGCATTCTTTTTAGATTACTTTTGATTTTTCAAGCTTCAAATCAACAAAATCCCATACATTTATTTCATTTAGGTAAGTACATACATTTATTTCATTAGATAAAAGTAACTGGGTAAGAACAGGATGTGAAAATCTCCCCCCTTTTTTTCACATAAAACTTTCACAAAGCTTAGATCTGTATTTTAAGCTACTGCATCATTAAAAATGGAATCTTTTACCATAAAATAAAGCCCTTTTGACATATTATAATGAATAAGGTTTTAGGGATATATTTTTCTATCATTTTCCACAAATCTGTTCTTTCAACTGCATGGCACCTTCAAATCTGAATGTTGCTATCTTAAGATTCCATACTGAAGTTTATTATATTCTTGATTACACCTTTCTTGTGATTCTGCAACATGCTGTATCATTTTTCAATAAAATATTCAAATTTGGAATCATGTGTCTAATCTGTATATTTTCTAATAAAACTGGAACACTTTTATTAATTTTAGGTAATGTAAATGGTGCTTTTACTAGAAGAAATTCTTTCAGTTATAACTTCTTGAAATAATCAACTTACAAGCAATTGAGAGATTTTTCTGCATTCTGGTATGGCTCGATTACAATGCTATCAAAAATCCATCTCTTTTGGAAAAATAACTGTTTCAAACAGTTTAACTGGTTTCATTGTTGCAGTTCCCCTCCCCTTCCTCAAGAAATTGTAGATTAAGCATTTTCACCCAATCACATTGAGCTAAAGAGCATAAATGGGAGTTCTTTGTTGGTAGCCTCTGTGTCTGTAATGCACAACCAGTTTTCCCTTTGCATGGTAATCTCGGCGATCAGTGGAGATTGATTGTTATATATCTTTTTACAAAAACTGTACTATATTGTGTTCTACCAAAATGTTTGGAATGTGTGATACAGTCCTTATTCTTTCATACAACTTTGGGAGATTTTTTTTGTTGTTCTTGCTTTAAAAAGAGTTTTTGTTTCTATCAAGAATGTACTTCACAGCATTTAAGACATCCTGAAATGTTCAGCATCCCTAATAGCTTTTATTTTGCTTCTTTGCACATAAAAAAAGCTACTTGGCAAGTCCTTTTGTTTTTATAAATTTTAGTGCTGACACCATCCACATAAAAATGGATTATGCATTCAAACATAGAGACCAAGAATTTGCTACTGAGAGAAATTGCATGACATCCAATACATAACTTTGTTCTAAAATTTTTGCACAGATCTGTATTCGACTTGTACATGGTAGGGTATGCTGCCAATCCTTAGAGCTGCAGAAAACTGAATTCGAAACTTCTTACAAATGTTTATAGTCATTTATCCACTTGGCTGAAGGACGGTTAAGCCTTAGTTAATAGAAATTTGAATTTTTTGCCCACTACTTACATTCAACCTTCATATATCTAGTTTTAAAATATTATAAGTCTAGCACAGATTTTAATAGTAAAAATATTACCTGTAACAGTTTCATCATCCAACTCAGTCTGACAAGCAATTAAGAAGCTGACCGCTTCCATCAAAAACTGTCAATGAAAGAATATATAAATTTTCTTAAAAATTTACAATAAATGCCATTTATTTTGAGTATGTTGTTTTAATACACATACAAAACTCGAAACTAAAAATAAAACCCAAAGAATCAACTCTATTTATTTATTTATTTCTTAAAATCTAAGTTCAGAAGATGTTCACATGGCAGCAATGACCTGATGAGGATGTGTCTTTGCCACCAAAGGATATATTTTTAAGGCTTTTGAACATAGCTTGGCAGAATACCATATTTTTAGTTTATACGTCATATGTATAAACCCCTTTGATGACCAGTATGTGTTAATGTATATATGTGTGTGTTTATACATCACATGTATAAACACACACATATATACATGCACATATACTGGTCATCAAAATTTAAGGAAAATAACAGAAATAAAACGTAACTGAATAAAAATTAGTAAAAATGTATATAAACAGGTTAGTTAATATAAATTACAATGTTTCACAGTAGATTGAAATAAAAACCAAATTTAGAGAAACTGGAAAACAACCTCATGTGTATGGACACCTCAGACAGATATGCCTGAATCACATCTTGATTTCATAGATTTTACAAAAGTGTTAATCAGGCCTTGTGGAATTGCAGCCCACTCTTCTAAGACTACATTTTTCAGCCACTAGAAGCTTCGGTGAGGAATCTAGTGCCCCATGACATCCCACACATACTCAATCAGGTCCAAGTTGGGTGAGCAAGGTTGGCAATCCATTCGAGTTATATCTTCTGTTTGCAAGTATTCTGAACCACATATGCTCGATGAGGTCGAGTACTGTTGCCACGACTAAACATTGCAACTTGGGATTCCAATACCTCAGAGTGGTTACAGAACCTCCTTGAATATGCAGCTTACTGTGGCCACTTGTCATGATACCCGTCGAAACCATTAAACTGTGGTCATAGGCCATTTCATGCAAAAGGATTGCAAGTAACATGTTCCTTCCTTTCTCCAGATCATAACTCATCTAGAATCACTGCTCAGACTATACCTGGATTTGTCATTGGTTTTTCTCGCATACAGTCCAACCTCTTTACACCTTTTTGCAGGAGTAGAATTGTTAATTCAAGTTTCTGTGGCAGCCTGAAGGTCAAAACAAGCAAATCTTTCGCAGCCGCTTCGCAGTTCTTCATGCCCAGAAAGACAGAAAATGGTCTTCTGATACAGTTGTTGCTCTTGGTCGCCCTTGAGCAGGTGGTTTATCAACTGATCCAGTGTTCAAAAAGTGGCTCCCAATTCTTGATACGACACTTAGAGAGATATACAAATCTTGGGTCACTTCCACGTGCGTTTGACCTCCCTCAATTCTATTGATAATTTACTATTTTTTACCTTCACTTAAATGCCTTTGAGCCATAACTATTGAATACTTATAACTCTCAGAAACCACTCCTTGTGAATAATTGGTTCTAAACTTCTTTCTTTATATATACACAGTAGAACTCCAATTATCTCAATCAATTGGGACCGGACCCCATTCGGATTAAATTTTTTCTGAAGAAAGGGTTTTTGTACATTTTAATTCATTACTGTATGTTAAAAATGGGAGAAAACGAAAAAGAGAAAAGGAGATTTTAATTAATTTTTTTAAAGAAATGAGGTTTTAATTACCATATATACCCACGTATATGTCGAGATATTTTGGACAAAAAAAAGACTTCAATGTGGGGGGTCGACTTATACGCGGGGCCATAAAAAATTAAAATGCAGTTGTTTTCTTCCCGCACTCGAATTGGACGACTTATCAAATAAGTCACTTACTTGAAGTAATTTCATGACTTAAATTATGTGACCAACTACAGTGGTGGCCAAAATTGTGGACACTTTTGGAAATTTTTATGTTTTTGCCTTTGAAAAATGCGAATGCCTGCGAAATACCCTCTGAATGATTATAAAATCATTTAAAAAATGTTGTATTAGCAACGAACTAGAACGGCACGGAAGATGATAATGCTGCTTTTGAAAGTGAAAATGATGACGAAGGCTCTAGTAGTGATTGTAACGAATACCAGAGTTCGAGACTGAAAATATGTATGATGACGAGCCAATGATGACAGAAAGAGTTCTATGAAATGTTTGGCGAATCTGACCATGAATCAGACATTGAAGGATTTTGATTTTGTTTATTTACCAAGGTATTTTTTATCGTATATTTACTTTTTTTTTCTCAGATGATTTTGAATAAATGTAGTGCTTAAAAATTTTTTTTGAAGTTTCTCGATCGATTTCGGAAGCGGAGGGTCGACTTATATGTGGGTTTCTTATTTTCTACGAATTTTTTATGTCGAAGTGGGGGGTCGACTTATACGCGAGTATATACGGTAATTAAAATGCAATGGGAACACTTTTATGTACATGTCATATAGCATACTGTACAATACTTACAAGTGCTGAAGGTCATTGCTTTCTGAACATCTTGATCAAAGTAAGCTGCTTGGCTGTCTTCATTTCTTTTCGGGTAGGCAAGTCACACATCTTTTCAGATGCTAAAGTGGTTTTCAGCAAAGCTTTACAAACAAGACTGGTTTCATCGGCATTGTACAAAAACTCAGGATCGTAGGAGTCTGCTACAATTTCAGATTTTTCAATAAAATCTTCTGCAGCTTTGGAGTCTGCTGCTAACTTCTCGCTTCTTAATTCACAGATACTGTGACTGCACTTAAAATTTCTTAGTCAGCCATTACTTGCTTTAAGGACGAACAACCAAGCTTCTGAGCTAAGATCTTAGCTTTTCTACATAGAATTGGACCCGAAACTGGGTTTCTCATATAACATTGCCGCAAAGACCACTTGAAAACGCCATCTTCTAAATTTTTGTTTGTTACTGCCTTCGTTGATTTTCTTGAAAAACTTCCATCTTCCTTTTTAAGTAGTGACACAAAGTTTAAAAATGTAGATTTGCTCCTTTTAATGTCTGAAATTGTTGACTGTCCAACATTGTACATCTCAGCCAACTGCTTACTCGTACCTCCTTTATCTGATTACTCTATAATTTTTAGTTTATCCGTTATAACACAACATATTTTCTTTAAGAAGCCGCGGCGAGTGATGAAACACACTCGAAAACAAAACAATGCACCAACACGAAAGAGTATCATCACAGTCCTATAGCAGGTCAATGACACACTGCCTGACTAGGAATCAAAATGAATAACAACAGTGCTCTAGCCACTCATTATCCCAATAACGTTCCTGCTGCGCCTACACTAGCTTCACGGAGGGAAGGACAATAGCGCATAGACAGAATCATTATTTTGTGAATCGCATTATGTTTCCATCTTTTTTTTTTTTTTTTTTTTTTTTTTTTTCCTGAAAGTGATTCAGATAGTCAGAGTTTGGATAATTGCCATTGTACTGTACATTTATATATGTAAGATAAAGAATAAGTAAAGCAGCTTTGTAATTTAATTTAGTAGTTTCTTAATTTGTTATTTTTAATTTGGTATATCATCTCTCTATTCTAAGAAGAATAATAACATTTCTGGACTGTGTCATTTCTATATTAATCTATGGCACAGAGCTTGCATAACACTGATGACATAATTAATTTGGAACCTGAACTCTGAGAACTAAAACCTTTCTAACTTAAACCCAAACTTTTTTCTTAACAGACTGCCATATTGGATAAATGCACACTTTGCATCTTCTATTGCTGCTTGGATGTCATTTCACCATAATGAATCCACTGAGTATGTACTTCGTCATTTTTAATTTGGTATTTCGTCTTATTATTCTAAGAATAATAACATTTCTGGACTGTGCCATTTCTAGATTAATCTATGCCACAAAGCTCGCATAATGCTGATGGTGTAATTAATTTAGAACCTGAACTCTGAGAAATGAAGCCTTTCTAGCCTAAACCAAAATTTTTCTCTTAACAGATTGCCATGCCATTTCACTGCACTGTAGCCACTGGGCATAATTACTGCCAACAATCATGCCCAGTGGATACATTCTGGCCAAGACTTTCTGCAGTATAAATCCACCTTCTCATAGCCCTATTACATGACCTTGTTCAAACTCACTAAGCTGTTGATAATGGCTTCTTCATCATCTTAAAGGCATTTTTGACTAACATCAACTAACTAACGTCAAATTTCAATGGTAAATACGTCTAATTTCAACGGTTCTGCATTTAATAAACGCTAATGAACTTTACGGTGCCCATTTAAAACCAACCTGATTTGCATGTTAATAGTGGCGCTAGTAGCACCACACTTATATGCCTAGTGCAAAATTTGAATAGACATGATCTTTCAGATGTATAAACACGCCTACAAAATGTTAATATAGCACATATCCTCCTTGATGTTGGGATTTCTTTTCTTCCATTAGTGTGTATATACAACATAATATTTCAAAAACTCAGTGCCTTTAAACTTACAGGGAGAAGGAAAAACTGTTTTCCTAAACCTGCACTTTTACAAATAAGTACTTGTACTTGATTCAAATCAAATACATTAAATAATAACAATTTTTAACACTATTAAAAATTAGAAAAATAAATACAAAAGCATCTTTAACTTAGCTGATATTTTTGAAAAAACTATTAGTGCAGTTGGAAAAATGATGTTACTTAGAAATAATTTGAGGCATATAACTGAAACAGATTTTAAAAAAAGTGTCATTTCGAGAAAAGAACAATCCTGTGACCAAAATACATATTAATTGAATTTTGCAGATTGACCATCTAGGATGTGAACTATCCTTTTTCTTGGTGAAATGCATAGGAAAATACCATTTGTTATGAATTCAGTATCAATGGAATCCCCCTTACACGATTTTTTTGCGAACATCTGCAGTGAACGCTTTGTCACGTTCTGCAATTAAGTTGGTGTGTAGAAGCTAACATTCATTACATACAATTAGGATATTATAGAAAAACTGGACATTTTGGATGAATGTTTAGTTTTACAGATTAACACATTTTATTAAAATTTATTTATAGTCACATCATACTTTAGTAAATTGTA